TCTGCCACACTCTCCGCAGAGGGTGGCGTTAGCCGCGCTGCTGTTTCCCTATATATGCACGAAGGGCGTTCCAGGTGGGCTGTTCCCTACAACTGCGTGGGCGTTCTCGCTCAGCGGGGCGTTCCAAGTGTGTGTGTGTGTTTTGCGGGGGCGCTCTCCGCTAGGTGCTCCCGACGGAGCCCCCGCACGTATGTCCCCGCGGCAGCCAGAGGCCGTCGTCGCGCTGCTAACGGCAGAAACACACACAAGAGTTTCACTCCAAATACTGCGCTGGTCCCGCCGCTACGCCTCGCCACGCCGCGGGAGCGCGCGTCGTCACCACCACAGCCGGGGATACGAAAGGAAACCCGGCGCCGGCCCGACGAGCCATCGGGGACGACGATGCGGCCGCCGATGGGGAGGACACGTTTTCTTCTAGTAGCGGTGCTGGCGGGGCCGGCCGCGCGCACCGGGTGTCCTCCTGGCGGGAAAGTGCACCGGCAGTGGCGGCGAACGGGGGTTGATGGGACGCCAGCCGGATGGTGACCGCGGATCAACACGACGACTGGCAGGGCAGTGCTGGCGTTACAGGAATTTTTAAACTCGAATTTTTCCGGAAAAGTTTAAAACTTTCCCAGGGAAAAAATGATGAAATAAAAATAATTTCCAGAAAAAATTGAGAAACCAAAAATTCAAGGAAATGAAAATTCACCCGCAACCTCTTCCAACCTCTCCTTATTACATACTTTTTGAAAAATTAAAATCCCTAGTGGCGAATTAGTGTTGATGGGGATGGTATAGTCGCGGGTCACCCGCGATGGTTGGTCGGGGGCAGCAGTGAACAAGGGTTGCTCGGACGCGCGCTGAGCTAGCCCGGGTGACCGGATGGTGACCGCGGACGGAGAGCACCACGGTGATGTGATCGACCCGTCCGTCGGGGTCGACGCGTCATCGTGTGTACATTGTGTCGGGCTGCGCGCGGCGGCGGCGGCGGGCGGCGGGGCAGGCAGGTGTCACGATCAGATGGTGACCCGCCGCAAACCTGTCTGGTTATTGATATTCATTGGGGCGGGGCGAGGGAGAGGAAAGGGGAGGGGTGAGCGAGAGAGAGAGAGAGAGAGAGGGAGAGAGAGAGCTGGTGCATTCGCGCGGAGCTATTGTCTCGCCGATGACGCCCCCAGCGCGGTGCCTTGCCGTGCCTTGCCGTGCCGCCATATCCATCCAGTCGTGAGAACGCTTGCGCGCACCGCCGTCAGCCGGCCGCGGCACCACCATGTGACACGAGGGCGGCCGGATGAAAAATTGTCGGGGTCTCCTGCTGCGCACCACTTAAATACCTCTCGCGACGACATGCCACCTGACCACCTGTAAGATCATCATGGTGTCGCATTTGTATCGGGCGTGGCACATACGCACGACGACGAAACAAATCTGATTTGGTTGCGAGGGGGTGCTCACTCAAACAAAATGTGTACAATGATTTTTTGATTTTTGATTATTTTTGATTTTTTTGATTTTTGATTTTGATTTTTCTTTTGATTTTTCAGCTATGAAAAAGACAATAACAGTTAAATTTACAAAAACTTCGTGTTTTTTCTTGTTCTGTGCCCATTTTTCTCAGTTTTGGGGTCATTTGTTCTTGATTTTTCGGATTTTTATGCAACATTCCACTTGATTTTATTTTATTTTTTTTGATTTTTTTTTTATTTTTTAAATGATTTTTTTGGGGCTGTACAATGATTTTTCGTAGTGAGCCCCCCCCCCCCCCCTCGTTTGGTTGTTCCCGTCGAGCGCGCGCTTTTTCAAATGAGACGTGGGCCCGCAGCAATAGTCGTGACGAGTAGTTTGGATGCACCTGCAGGTGGCTGTCGCATGTATCGCCCTCTGCTTTGTGGGGAGGGGGGGATTTGCGGCTGCTGCAGCTGCTGCTGCACCCGGCTTAACCTCGGCCAAGCGGGGGAGCAAGAGCAAGCGAGATGAAAATGAGACGTG